AGACAGAAAACATAAAAGGAAATGAGCGACATGAACGATCGCGTGTTAAATTTGTTTTTGAGGCGGCGACACCTGATTTGATAATGTTACTGTGGCCGCGCTCAGGACGCAGATGTCTGGAGCGCGTCAACAATCAGAGCTTTGCATGCGCAAGCTGGTTACGGTTAGGATGGGGGTGAGGGGAAGGTTAAATTGCAAAAGGGTAAACGTCACAATTTGGTTAAATGTCCGTTTTACGGCGGGTGTCCGTACCGACGCTCTGGCGCAGCACGTTGCCTCCCGACGCGCAGGGGCTTGTCACCTGCTGAGAGCAGGCTGCTGTCTTTTCCGTGGACTGCATCTTGCCGGTCAATATCACGTGACAGCGACTAGTCGATGACAGGCATAAAAAGTCACTATAGAGCGGTGAAGTCAACTAGTGACTAGTTCATACAACCCCTGCTACTGCTCCCCAGAGTGTTCTGCAGCATATTCAGCACGTTCTCTTTGAACGTGATATCAAATTTTCGCCTCCTCTTTGTCTCCGCATGGTTAAAGTTACCCTCGCGGTCTGGCAAATCAAAGGTGAGATGATGACACAACCGCCCCCCGTACTTGCTTGTTACCACATTCCACCCGGCCACAATAAAAAAAACTGCCATTATTCACCTCCGCCAACTCCGACCAAAATATGATACCCGTCAGTTAATTAAATACAGGCTAATATTAGAGGATTTATGGTATGCATGTATGTATGCATGTATAGATGGTAATTTGTAAAGTAAAGGTAAATTAGTAATGTGAGACAAGGGGGTGGGATTGAATAAGCACTTGCTTCTTCTTATTCTTTTTTCTTGGTATATCTTTTCTTTTCTATGTTCATTGATTTAAAGAATATTTTGTCTTATGTTCAAATAAACGTTTCAATCAATCAATAAATCAATCAATGATTGCATCCTTGATTATATGCAATTATGACAGAAATCCTAGCCTTTAAATTAGGTATAATATGTATATTTACATAGGAGGGTGGCAAAAGATGCAGATTTGACGTGGAAGTATATGATGTCCCATCAGTGACATAAAACACAATATAGACACACACGATCAGCTAATTTCACCCAATTTTACTGTATTAAAAAAACCACAAAGGTTTTTAAGCATGTCTGTTTCCGTTCGTAGATTTGTCACAGAATTCAGAATTAGCCGAGGAGAATGACATCCACACAGAGGTTAAATTCTGGAGTTAGGTGTTAGAAACCGATATACTCGGCTTGCAAAAATGACAGCTGGGGAATTAAAAGAACTGGGCTGTGAGGCTTATCCAGCAGCTGTACTTTCAGACGGTCAAAAATGGTCTCTGTGCTTTAGATCTGATGTGAAACATTCAGACTGTTTACACTACAACACACGGCAAATGTAAGCATGAAGACAGGAATGGAGACTGGCATAGTTCTACAAAAGTAACCACAAACACTCTTGATTACGGTACATCAAAAGAGCATCTGTGTTCTACCTTTGTTCTGAGTTAATCTGATCACAGATCAGCACAATCTAACATCCAAATGCAGGAACATCGTGAACATTCAGTGATCAGTCTGAACTAGATGAAACTATTCACTACGAAAGAATCTTTAGTCGGTGAGTTTGATTTTTACACATTAAAGCTGCATTAGGACATCTGGAAAAAGAGCTAGCCTAAAACCCTTTTTTCATGCCTCTTAACAACGTACAGCTATAAACATATTGTGGAGAATTAAAAAAAAAAAAAAAATGAAAAACATTAAAGTGGTTCTCTTGCATTTGTCTAAAAACCACCAATAACACGACTCGGACATCTGTAGCTACACGGTTTGTCACTTGTTGTTTCCACCTACTGCTGTACTGTGTTTGCTTTTACTAGTTATTTTTTTTACTGTTTTTGTTGATCCGTTTTATTGTCTCTTTTATTGTGGACTGACTTTGAGTGTAGAGCTGGGCGACATGGCCTAAAATCAATATCACAACATATTGAGGATTTCACCTCAATAACGATAAATGGACATTAACTACAGGTAGAAGAAGAAGAAGAAAATATCATTTCTATAGCGCCTCTCAAGATAAAAATCACGAGGCGCTTTACAAAAACAAAAAATGTAAAAATATAAAAAAGCATTTAGAAAATGTTTAAAAATATATTTTAAATTAGCAAAAATAGGCAATTGTGATTAAAAAATGTTAAGAAAGAGAGAGTGAATAGGAAAGAGGGAAATCAGTGGATCCTGAGGAAGGTGGAATAGGTGGGGAGAGCAGAATAAAGAGAGAGTGGTGATGGCCAGCTTGAACAGGTGAGTCTTCAGCTGCTTTTAAAGGAGACCACTGAGTCCACTGATCTCAGGCTCTGGGGGAGAGAGTTCCAGAGTCTGGGGGCCACAGCTGCAGATTATCTGTCACCTTTGGTCTTTAGCCTGGTGCGCTGCATAACCAGTAGGCTTTGATCACTGGACCTCAGGGACCTGCTGGGGGTGTAGGGACTGAGAAGATCACCAATGTATGATAGTGCTCGTCCATGTAAGGCCCTATAGACCAGAACCAGGATCTTGAAATGAACCCTGAAGTTGACTGGCAGCCAGTGAAGCTGGAGGAGAAGCGGGGTGATGTGGATGTGCAAGCTGTGCTCTCATTAAGAAAACGAGAACTAACCATACGGTGGGGACGCAGAAACTGACAAGTTAAAGAAAATGCAATGGTGATCTGAAATATAAACGTCCTCAGGACAAACACTGTCAGCATTTAGACCCAGGGTAAAAACAAGGTCTAGAGTGTGCCCCCTGGTGTGTGTGGGGCCAGAAACATGCTGGGTAAAGCTGAAGGAGTCCATAAGGCTGGAGAAATTCATGGCAAAGTGATCAGAGGGATCATCAACGTGGAAGTTAAAGTCACCCACAATCACCAGTCTGGACAGCTTCACAGTGGAGGATAGAAAGTCACTAAACTCCTGAAGGAAAGAACCGTTTGGACCAGGTGGACAATAGACCACAGCACAGTAGAACGGGTCCTTACGCCCGACTTTAATCAGCTGCAGTTCAAAGGAAGCAAAGTGACCAAAGGTTGTAGAGCTACATGGAAGATGGTCTCTGAAAACAACAGCTAGGCCTCCACCACGACCAGAACCCCGGGGCTGGCTAAGAAAAGAATAACCACTCGGGCAGAGTTCAATCAGAGCAGAATAATCAGATGTTTGCTGCCAAACTTCAGTCAGAAACAGAAAATCCAGGTTTTTAGAGAGAATTAAATCATTGAGCAGGAAGGACTTATTGTTAACAGAGCGGGTATTTAATAGAGCCATGCTGAGTGAGGGTGGAGGAATCAGAAACTACAGAAACAGCTGGAGTTAGTGGACATAAATTAGCAGGGTTAGATCCACGGTGTTTGTAAAAACCACTTATGGAGGGAACAGGAGGAGAAACCACTGAGGAATGAGGACAAACCGACCTTAAAAAACTTGGACGGATGTACCGCGCTGCAAAGCGGCCTGGCGGGAATGCGGAAGTGGCGCTCAGGTCACCAAACAAAGGACAAGAAGCTAGAAGATCGCGCCGATGTTTACTAGATAAACCACGCTTTAAGAGAAGTCTTATTCTGACCTGGATTCCTGCTCGTTTACCTCTTTTCCTCCGACGTTTTCCCGGGACCGGATAAACATAGCCGGAGGTGCGCAGCTCGGGACCGTCGTTTGGCTCCGGGCCAGCGCGCCACTCAGTTAAACAAACAGGACGGTACGTCCTCGGTGCATCTTGGGCGATCAGGTATGCGCAGAAAAAAAAGTTGTCCACTAGATGGGGCTGTTAATACGCTGAGTCACATTTTTACGTGACTAAAGGTGGTACAGCTTCTTAAAGGGACATGAACGTTGCCAACCTACACACCTCTTTTCAGTTTTTATTATCAGATTTATTGACATGAGAAACAATATCCCCATAAGAGTCAGAAATTTCGATAACGATAAATGTTTGATTTATTGCTCAGCCCTCCTTGGGTCTCCTAATAGTTGCTTTTAAATACAATTTATTAATATTAAATATAAAAAATATCTTTATTAGGTCCTTACAGCAATATAAGTAAAAATTAAAGATTATATTTTTTTAAAAGCAATACACATCAGATCAGACTACCTTTTGTCTATTTTCAGAAATCTTTGTTGCTTCTCGTTCTGTTTTAGGACTTTACACATCAAACATCCACCTTTCACACCAACAGCCTGACCTTTAAAAATGTTTATGCAACTTCAGCAATGCAGATATGTAAGGGCTTGGAAAACAAACAAACATAAACAAACATGACATTAATGCAGAGATTCAATAAATGTAGCACTGCTGGCGGTTTAGGTTTATGTTGCATGACATTTCTAAGGCAGAGTTACACACTTTGTCCCAGAGGTTTGTGCAGCTCTCACACACAAAGTTTACATTCTTGTGCATGCACGACACGAGCTGATGTTCAGATTAGCCGCCCCCACCCCTCCTGGTCCGTTTAACAACGCTCTAGCTGCAGCTGAAATACTCGGGACATCACAGGTCAGACAGGAAGTACTTTTGCAATTTCCAACACTATTTTTAGATGAGTACTACTCCAGTGTCTGTGCATTCCTACTGTATGCTAGTAAAAACACGTATTTGTATACGTGTGTTAACTCGACTTGGCACATTAGGGTGTAATAAAGACTCAACTGGTGCAGATGTCGCCCACAAACGACCTAAAACATGACAGCCTGTGTGATTACTGTAGCAACTAATAAACCTGGAATAAAAGCGGCAACTTATGATCTCACATTAAAGATGAAGGGATTCATGACAAAGAGGTCACGCTGCAACTAGCAGGCCGAGCGCTCGTGGAAGAGCAGACTGGGTCAGAGAGACATCATCCTGATGGCTGTATTCGTGAACACACCGTTCTAAAGTCTGGAAGCAGCTGAGTGGGTGGCATTAATGTGGCAGTGAGGGGATTATGGAGAAGTGAGCAGTGTGTCATCTAGGACTTACAGTTTAATTATGTGAGGATGCCTGAAAAGCTTGAGGTTCTGGATCTCCCGACGAATTTTCCCCACCACATCCAAGCTGCGGATCTTCTGCCTGTTCAGGATCTTCACCGCCACTTGATGCTTGGTGAGTTCATGTTGGCCCACTGCAGGGTGAACACATCAGAGTGTTTGAATAGTACAAATCATCCAGCTAAGGCTCGCAAATTATGAAAAACATAATTAAGCACATCTTCATAACAGAAAATCTTGACAAGTGTAGTGTTTCTTAGAAACAAACAAAAGTATCAACCCTAAGCCTGTGATTACTTCTTATTTCTGTATTTTTACACAAAACACAGGGAGAATGGTGAGTTTGAGCTAAACAAATATAATCACACTTGCTTGTTTACATGTAACAGACAAGGGTAAAGAAGTGTTTATTTGGATGTGTGTCACTCTCTGCTTGGTAATTCAAAGTCCAATGTTCCAAAACCTTTCAGCTTGACTACTAGATGTAGATGCCACATGTACTCTTCCACCTCCCTGAACTGGCTCTAAAAATTACAGACCCGAGTAACATCTTTATACAGAACCTATCCTAATCTGTGTGTGCCACAGCTGAATTACCCTAATCTAAGTTCTTTCCCTTCCTTTCAATACCAGATTTAGCAAAAAACATTTAAGAGTTTTTAGTAACAATGTGTTAAACATACTGAGCAGTTTTGTTGTCATTAGCCAGTCCGTTTGTTTATTCGACTTTCTGACACAAAGAACATATTTGCACCAAATCAGCAACACAAGATGGAGAACACGAGCTTGTGATTGGTTAGGACAACACTTTCGTCAACAGCACCGCTGTTGCCCTCTCAAAAAAATAAAGAGAGCCGAAGATATCTAGCGGAAGACATGGAGCAGCTTGAAGAATACCTCGTAGAAAAACTCAAAATATGAACGTTTTATTCACCCGTGACTGGAGGAGTAAAAGGATGCAAGCAATTTATTCGTGGACGGGAAGGAGGGGAAACGTGGGTTTAGAGGTGGTGAGTGCATGAAGAGGTGGAGGAGAATGACAGACATATTTGTCCGTGTTAAAAGGTTTCTGAAATATAAAAACACAATAGTAAATGCACGATCTTGGACCAGATGCATGACAGGATATCACAGAACAGCGCTACGCCCTCTGTTGTCCAGACGGGGAATTGATTTGCAACAGCCCCCATGAGACGGAGATGTCTCTTGTGTGGTTCTCTCCCTCGTGGAGCTGATGCAGAAGCATAAACTAGCCTTAAGACCCAATGCTCAGACTCTACATGTGGTAGCGACATGTCACACATAAAAACAAGCTAATAGTTTTTACACATGTCAGACTTTTGAATCCAAAAATCCACAGGACCCAGAGACTCTTGATTTTTTGTTGATGACTTTTGTTTCTCAAACTTTATCTGCAAAAAACGAATACAGACTATGTTGTTGACGTCTGTTGTCCTTTGGGCTTGCTGTAGAAAAACAAAGGGGGTTATGGGAGATGGAGAAGGAAGACGAATGAAAGGACGTAAACAATGTTTTTCTCGTATTTGACATAAACAGAGACAACGTACTTTCTTGACAATCTTCGCTGTTGTGTGTGGAGAAAAGTGAAAAAATAAAAACAAACAACATGTGTTGATGCATAATAAGCTCGGCAGCCATGCTGGCGCATGTTCTGGGTGAGCAGAGCTGCTTCAAGACTGCGAGACCCTCACGAGGGAGGAGCAAAATATCAAACATGTTTGATATTCATGCGACTGCGTGATTGCTGCTCAGGAGGTGTTAATCACCTCACATTACTCCCGTACACTAGACAATACACGAACTTGCCCTGACCTAAAAGATTCTTGCATGAGAGAAAAATTGGCTCAAAACGGTCCAAAAATCACAGTGTATGCCCGGTTTTACTGTAATATTGTGGATTCCTTTTAGACTATGAATTAGAAATTTAAAAGAAAACAAATGGTCACGTGTGCATAAGCGCTTATTTATATGGCTCAAGTAAATTTTGCAGCCCTACACATATTATATTTAGCATGATGTTGAAAATGGCTCTTTCGGTCATAAAGGGTTTGAGCCTTTGAGCTAGATGGACGGTGGAAACCACTTAGGGGTTACTGAGCAGTAGCATTAGATTTTATCACCGGTGAAATATTAAATGTGCAGCACTCAGGCATCTTCACGGATCAGCAACTCCAGTGGACTGAGACGCTGTTTTCTCATCAACAACAAATAACATGAGTGGAGGAGAGTGATGAGTCACTGGAAACTAACTGTAAACAGAGCGAGTGGCTGTTCTGACAGAACAGGAGGGACAAAAGTCATGCTTCTGAAACAAAAATGTGTTCAAATGTAGGTTTAATTTAATGGTTTCAATCGGCACTTCCGGTCAAGGCGAGTGCTGATAAACCAAGCTAACGGTGCCCAAAACGCGAATCACCCTCTGACAACACGGGGAGTAAACGTGGGTGTTTGTCCAACTTTCTGTTTCAACACACCTGAATGCGTAAATATTTCCTCAGCGTGATGGTCGAGCCTGATGGCGGATTTTGTTTACCAATATATATTTTTTGTGGAAGCAGGGGAACGGAAATGAACACACGTCTTTTTAGCCACAGGCGCAAACACCAGCCACAGGAGGTTCACTCGGGTCTTGACAGAGACTTTTGGCTCGCAGGCCAACATATTGCTGACAACGCTAACTGGTAATAAGAAATAAATAATCATCAGTTTAACAAGTTGCACCGTTTAGTGCAACCCAACAGTTCCAACTCGTTATGGCAAAGAAGACAAACTGAGTGTGGCTGCATACATTCCAGGTCTGGCGACAACTTTAGCTTTGAGACTAGGCTACATTAGCAGCTAAGCTAAAAGCGCTATCATCTTGGGTGGGCAGGATGTACTCTGCATGTCGGACCTACCTTTAACCTTTCCAAACGTCCCGACTCCAAGCGTGTCCCCGAGAATGTAATGTCCTATTTTGACTCTTCCTTCATGTTTTTGTTTTTCCGTCGCCATCTTCCCGCAGTGGCCTTTCTGCGGGGTTAGCTAGCTGCAGGCGGACACAGACCGAACTCAGCTGTGTGCGGCTCTCTAGCGGCTCGGCTCCGTACGGCGAAAGTGGGACGACGCGCCCCGGCGTCTGCGTGATTCGTCAAAACCACACGAGACGTTGCGTTCACGTAACACAGAAAGCTCGCAAATATTAGCATCTAAGAAAAACAATGCGAGGAGCTCGTTTTCATGATCCTCTGACAATAGTAACGGAGGAAATAGTAACGTCATTTTAAAAGTATGCTTTGAAATGTAATGAAGTAATCATAAAAACAAATATGATTTATTCAAGTATTTATTTTGTAATCTTGTATAACCGGAAGATGTAATCCATCACTTTATGCAATTGCTAAAAAGACCCTTAATATCAATAGAAATTTCTGTATACTAAATAAAGTACATGATAAAAATGTGTTAAAAATTCAAGCAAATTACATCTGTTATTTGCACGATGGGCATGTGTTCTGAGCAAAATATTTCAATAAACAGGAAGTGTTTACTATTGGTTTAGGGAAAACTGGACCGCAATTCGCATTTATCTAATAAAAGTTTATGAGTCATGTCACAAAATAGTCACTTTCCCAGGTGTCCTGCAAAAATTGGCTGAACAAAAAGTTATTAATTACCATCTGGTTAAATTTATTTTAATTGATTGTGGCGCCCATTTGATAAACCTAGAGAAAATATATCAGTAAACAGCTTTAACAGGATTCACAACAAAGGCATGCATGTGAGTAAACCAGACTTTATTATAAAGCAATAGAAATCTGTGTTGACACAGAAAGCACCCAGGCTGGATGACGTTCAGCTTTGTGTAAACAATGAACGCAAGTGCTGAACTTAAATGCTGAACACTTTATTTAAACTCCATTATTACACAGCAAAGAACAGAAAAACATTTCTAAATGAACCAGAGCTACTAATCCAGTACATCATATTTCAACAGTCAGAGCAGGAAACAAACCAACATTCATCAGTTTAAATTTGACACAATCCACACACCTGCTAATGAAAATCTACAATCATTATTTCAAATATTAATTCTTTTTTGACACAGTCCTGCTCAGATGTGTCCAGGTTGCATCTTGCTGTGCATTATAAAAATCTCCAAAGGTTAGAAATAAAAAGCAAATTGTTTTCTCAGCAAAATGTGTTTTGAAGATACACGGATTCACACGCAAAATGTTTCACACTGAAATATTTAAGAGGTTAAAAACTGAAAATGAGTGACCACATCTTTGAAAGACTGTGAGGGTCAATGCATCTTTAAAAAGGACTAACATCACCATGAAAGATGTTTTATATGCTCATCTATTTTATGCTCACAATTGAATACGGATATATATATGTAACCCCAACCCTAACCCTATATATATATATATATATATATATATATATATATATATATATATATATATATATATATATATATATATATATGTATATATATATATATATATATATATATATGTATGTATATATATGTATATATATATCATGTAATATATTTTTCTTGATATATTTCAATGATTTTATTTAAGTTTAATTTTTTAAAAATGAGTGAGTGAGTAAAGTTCATTTATATAGCATCTATAACAGAAAATAAATCACAATGTGCTTTACAAAGCAAATCACACTCTAAAAATTAAAACCTAATTTAAAGACCAAAAAACCCCTAACTAACCCTTTTTAAAGGAAGACATGGTCAGGATGGCAAAACACCAAAAGTTACGAGTAACTACGAGTAACTACGCTGTAACTTACATCAATTTGGTAAGCAAAATATGAAAACATAATATTGATAAACACGATGGATTCTGGAGGGCGGCATGCATTATTTTCTTAGTGTAGTCTTAAAAGTGTTTTTCTTCTAAACTGATCATTAAAACAGGTGTACCCCCCCCCCCCCCCACACACACACACACACAAATAACTTTTTTTTAAATAAATGAAATAAAATAATTCCAAAAATATCTTTTGTACTAAGTTGTCAAGGTGCAATGTAAAAAAAAAAAAGACAAATGTACTGGTGCACCATTTCTCGGACTTAAAAGTTGCCCACGTCGCAGCTGAGCATCAGAAGGCAAGTTGTGGACATTTGGACATCTCACCCCGGACTGGATAACAGCAATGCATGACTCTACCACTGACTTGCAACGTGGATGCTTATCTCCATAGCACAAGCTTGAAGGAGTTCTGCCATGTGGTGAAGTTGCTAATGATACCGGTTAGCTTAAACTTGCCAAGACGTCCACTGCTAATTTGAAGTGGTTGCATCAAGTCACTGACTTGTGTCAGAGACTTACAGCAATCCCCATACCTAGCAAGCATGTAGTGACCGTGGAGAGAAAAAACTCCCCTTTGACAGAAAGAAATCTCCAGCAGAACCTGGCTCATTATGAGCAGCCATCTGCCACGACTAACCAGGAGTTTGAGAAGACACTCCCATGTTACTCCTCTGAACTGTGTCACTGTGTGACAGGTGACCAGACACCTCACCACCATTCACACATTCACTTACAGCTAGGGGCAATTTAGAGTCTCCGGTCGACCTAAACCTGTTTTTGCCCTGGGGGGGTGGGGTGGGGGGTGGGGGGCGCCTGAGCACTGGGAGCAAACCCCTGCATAGATGTGGAGGACACACTAACTCCACGCAGAATGGAAGCTGTCTAGATCCAAACTAGCATCGTTGACACGAGGCAACAGTGCTGCCCCTGTGCCACCATGATGCCCAGTTGTTGCTTTTTTTTGGAGGTGGCGTCTTCTTTTAAAAGTTTTTTCTTCTGAACTGTTGGTGGCTGTCTTCAGCAGCCACTGAGCCACTAAATCTAGAAAAACAACAAAGATGACTATCAAAAACAGGCTACAATTGAAAATGAACAGCTGAGGTATAATAATGAAAACAGATATTAAACAAAAAGATTTAAATAAAAAAACTATTTTATCCAAAACACCAAAATTTACAAAGTTCTAAATCCTATCAAAAAACGTTTGAGTGAGGGGTGATTACTCCAAAGTCACCCAGATATCATCACTTTGGGGTTTTCACCTCAACATCACTCGGATATCATGATTTTGTGTTTTTTTTAATCCCGCATCAATGCTATGACTATGGGGTGATTACTTCATAGTCACCCAAGTATCATTCTTTGGCCTCCAAAGCACTTGGCCACTATTTTGTGCCAGCGAGCAGGTCCCTTATAAAATTTCTTCAGAAATTTCTAACTTGTTTTATTTGCACCCTTATACATAATTCTAAGCGACATACATCTCTGAAATAATCCCTGAATTACCCAAAGCCCTCAGATCCTCAGGTCGAGCCTTCTCCTCGATCAAACTTTGTTTTGTAAATTTCTATATAATTGCTAACTCTATTTCTTTCCATCTGGCACCATATTCAAGGTTGCACGAGCATACCATAGATCCTAATTGTGTAATTCTGTGGCGTATCAATCCTTTAAACAAGGCAGTGAAATTCTCCCCCTGGTTTTAGGTAGCTGTAAGTCCTTATATTTGGTCCACGTCCTCTACAGTCTACACTGAATCCCAGTGCAGTACAGGATTACATTTAAGATGCTAACTTTTGTCTATAACGCTATAAACGATTCACCTCCTCTTTACCTCCGTGACTCGCTCCATCCCTGCACCCCTGTGCATTCCCTTCGGTCTGCTGATCTAGGAGATCTTATGAATCCCATGGGGAGCGAGCTTTTTCTCACGCAGCCCCTAAACTATGGAACACACCACCCCTGCACATCCGGCTGTCACGATCATTAAATGACTTCAAAACATGACTGAAACCCATTACTTCAGCCTTGACTTTAGTTCCTAAAAATGCCACTCTCTCCCACTTTGTCTCTATGCTTCTAGTAATCGTGGCCTCTCCTGTCTACTGCTCTGCTTTTATCTTGAGCTTTGAAATATTTTTACTATTCGTGAAATGTTTGCTTTATTTTCCTGTCCACTCTGTGGTCTGTTCTTTGCGCTAGCCTAGTTTTGCCCACCTCTTTTGTATTCTTTTGGTTTTGGATGTACAGCACTGTGGTCAGCTGCAACGCTGTGTTTTAAAGCGTGCTCTATGAATAAACTATGGATGGATGGTTTTACCGGGATGATCCTCTGTCCTGTTTCTCGTTCATGTGTTCAGCGATAGGTGTGAAATCAGTCACACTTAGAGAAGTGGAATCTTCCTTTTCTAACGATTCAGAACAACTTAGATGTGAAAGTTCAAAAACAAGGCAAACGCAGTCTTTGTAGATAAAAGAGTCAATTAATCTGATCAGGTTGTGTTTGTCAGAGCTCAGATAACTGAGATCCCTGTATGCATTCACCTCCTTCATTGCTTGCAAATGCTTTTGTTTTCTAAATATCTTTACTGCTACTATCTCATCTGTTCCCTCTTTTTTGCACTTGTGTATGTCCTCTAGATCCAAATACTTCCTCAATTTGGTAAACGTCTGATTGGTCAATGATTTGAACTCCTTTGTCCAAGGTTGAGACTGAGGATTGTGTGTCTTTGTGGGATTCAGTTAGGCCTGAGTCTAACTCAGGAAATTCCACCTCTGCGACGCTGATCAGTGGTTTGGCTTCTGGCTGGTATTTCATGTGTCTCTGACTCATTAGAGCATAAACTGGAATTGGGAAAATGCTCCATTGTGATGAATGTGTGGTTGAGAGCATCCTCCGGAACAATTCTATCTGCTGAATTCACAGCTAGCATTTTTTTAAGAAGGTCTATAAAAGTGTCTATGTTCTGTGTAACTAGCACATGATGGTGCTTATTACTGTAAGCCACCAAGGGAATCATAAGGATTCCCTTGGTCTTCTGAGAAAATTCTTGATCTTGTGTCTTGTCGATATTCCTTTCGGACATTTCAAATTCCAAAAATGTTTAGGTCTGCTGATGACATATTTGAAATAACGTGAGACATGCAGACCCATATACCTACCAATACACTTCATCATTAAGTAGCTATCATTTGGAAACAGATGATTGCCTATATACAGAAAAGCCAACGTACAACCAAGCCCCCACATATCTATGCCTTCATCTCATGGAAAACCCAAGATAACCTCCGGTGCCCTGTACA